CCCTCAGTGTAAACATACTCTGATGTCATTATGAAATAAGGAAATTAGTGTACTTGTTATTTTGCATTTAGGAAKAAATAGAACTGAAAGATTGATATGCTTAGTTTACCTTAGTTGCATCAAGAAGACCTGATATGACACCTTTGTGATCAAGAACTGCAATCATTGGCGCACCAAAAAAGTTGCAACGGAAAACAGTGCTCCCGTAGAGATCACTTTGTTGAAGAAAGAACAACAAACCATTCTAAAAAAGAAAAGACATTTTGTTAACAAAAGAAATGTAATACCTTTATCTTGGAGTACTAAAAACCTATTATGAGGATGATGATGATGGTCGATGATGATTATCATCATCATCATTATTTTAATTATTATTATTATTCTCAGTACAATGTCATCATCATTAGAATTATTATCATTATTATTGGCTTATTGTCAGTCAATATACAGCATTATGTAGAAATTATGACCTTTTTTGCTCATATTTCAAGTATATATAAAATATATCAGAAATTATTATTTTTTTCATAAAGTACTACTTCTAGGCAACTTCCAAAAAATATTGGCGATGACATCCCATAATTTCTGACATATTTTATWTATAATCGAAATATGAGAAAAAAAGTCCTTGATTTCTGCATGTTGCTGTAGTAAGAATCTTGATTGGTCATTATTATATAAGACATTTGATTGTTTGATTTCATTCAGTAATTGTTATGATGGCAATAATCTTTATCATTCTCAAAAAACTATGACAAAAAGCCATTTTCCACTCCATAATCCATACCTTGACTAGTTTAACAATCTGGAACATTTTATGACGGTAGGTTCCTGGTATTGGACTCAATCCCTCGTCCAGGCCATCTTTCAATACACGTTGACTGCAAGAAAAAGTTTTATATATTAATGCACAAGGAGTGGATACATCCCTCCCCCCTAAAATCCACCCCTGATGCATGATAAACTACCTTGATTTTGGGCAAAAAAGGGGGGGTATATCGTAGGTTATAAGGTATACATTTTCTTTTATATGTGATCATTTTAAAGTAAGCGAATCAAAAATAACATAATCATAAATGATTAACTTTATAATATTCTATAATAAAAATTTAAATACTGTCTGATGAGTGCGTAAGCACGAAACTTGGAGTGACAGCAAAACTTGCATCTTTGTTATTACATATATAATATTCAATTTTACTGTTTTACTAACTTGACATAAAAAATTGATATCAATGAAACACAGCAAGGAGTTCTCTCGTAATCATTTCATTGTGATCGTCAGATGTGGCCATTCTAATTCTATATATTGTTAAAAGT